GTTTGAAATGGTCACTTTTATTTAATTTGTGATCGTTTTGTATTAATTGCAAAGGTTTGTTACCAAGTCATTACAAATTAAAGGTTTGTGACTGTTTTGGATTGGATCGTGTGTTCGTCAAGTATATGACACTAATCACTTAATGACATATGAGATCTTGGATCGTGTGTTCATCAGGAACAGAGCTAGCTTGAAGGGAGGAGGGGCTACGTTATACACCCTGTAAATAGCTAAACATTAAGATCTAGTGTCCCAACATACTGGTTATGGGACATTATTTTTAGATCAATTCCACTGTGGAGTGGTGGGTTCAATCCTCCACCTTTGCATAAGCTCTTCAAGAGAGGGGTAGGATATGGTGACTACCCTCAAAAGGGTTTGATTTTTGACACGCCCTTTTCTTATTGGTCCATTTTTCCTTAATCATTTGATAAGTATTAATGGAAGTTGTAGAATTTAACACTCGCATTAAATACACATTAGGAATTAAATACCCCATATTAATTACTTGCTTTTTTAAATTTAAACCTATACTAAACACAATTCTCTCTAAAAAAAAAGCAAATAATCCCTCTTCTCTCCTCCCTCTCATCATATGCTTCCGCCGTTATGATTTTTCGATTTCTGATGTTTCAGATCTGACTTTTCGATTTTTTCAGTTATGATTTTTGTACCACTGCACTGATATTTGTACCACTTCACTTAAACTCATATATGATATTTTGTACCAGTGCACTGGTAGCGTTACCAATGCACTGGTAGAGATACCACTACACTGGTAGCGATATCAGTGCACTGGTACAAATATCATATCTCAATTTAAATGTGGTGGTAGAAATATCAGTGCATTGGTACTAGGTATCACTGCACTGGTACATTTTTTTAATGTAATGGTACATTTTTGTGGGTGGCCGGAGGAAGTCTTCCGGCAAGATTTCACCGGAGATGTGTGGCGGTCGGAGGCTGCTGGAAAAAGGAAGAATGAGAGATAGGGAGAGAGAATTGTATTTAATGTAGGTTTAAATTAAAAAAACACAAGTAATTAATATGGTGCATTTAATTCTCTATGTGTATTTAATATGAATGTTAAAATTTATAGATTACATTTAATACTAAGGGGTGTCATTTTTCCAACCCTTTTATGGGTTAGCAAGCTAACCGAACCCGGAGATATGGAATCAGCCGTCTCCGAGCAATCTCCCAAGCTTGCCATCACCTGGATCTTCACCATTTTGGTCAAGTGTGAAGGTGGAGCTCTGCCTGTGGCTGCTTCCCCGTCCACAACCGCCTCCGGCTTCCTCTGCTTTTCACGTTCAAGACCATCTTCCCACCTTTCCTTCTTTATGAATTTCCAACTCGAACCCTGTAAAGACTGCCACATCAAACCCCTACCATAGTCAGCACCATAAGCTTTCAAACATAGTCTCGTTGTTGTCGGAGGAGTATTGATGTTGCTCGATTTGTCCCATGTCCCGTCACCCGAGGCCACAACAATAGAAGATGCAGCGACAGCTTGTGCGGCAGTAGTTGTGATAGCCTCGGTGCTCCTGCCTTTCTCTCTCTCGTCTGCAACCTCCGCGCCCTTCTCCTTCAACTCGAGATTTATCATGTTTCATTTGTGGTCGGCAGCTTCCCCACCAGGGACTCATCGTCTTCCGTCCTCTTCTCAACTGGTGAAGAAACGGCTAGCGATGCTGGTGATGTCAAAGGGAAGACAGTTGTTGTTGCAACTTCTTTCTCGAGCTTCACAGCTGTTGTAGTTGGTGGTGTTGGCGTGTCTTTTGTGGTCGGCAGATCACCACCATCAACTCCTTCATTGTTGTCATTTCGATCTTCATCTTCAAGTCTCTTGTGAGTTCTCTAAGCGAAAGTTCGAAGCTTTCCATAGCTTCGGTACAGATGCCTACAACCGAGCTTTGATACCACTATTAGAAACCCTCTTTCTACGGCTTCTAGTGACTGATCTTCGACACCTGTGATTACTCGTAAAGATAGATATTAGGGATTGGAATAAGAAATTAGGAATTTAGATAGAAGAATCGTGGATTTGGGATTGAAGAACATAATTGGGAAGATAGGGAAGAACTGGTTGGCGCGTTTCAGAGAGAAGTAGATGAGATTTGAAAGGGTTTAGAAGAGATTAGGATTAAGAGATTATTCTTAATGTTCTGCTTGATCCATTATAAATAAATGGGATAATACCACTAGGAAACCCGAACTATTAAGAATGTGTCATTTGTGTCATAAAGTATCCAACATGACATTTGTGTCCTAAACTATTTTTCCATTATAGTTGACCGTAAGTATTTAACAAATGGCACATTCTTAATAGTTCGGGTTATGACATAAATGACACAAAACTATAATAGGTTGGGACATAAATGTCATATTAGATACTTTAGGATACAAATGACACATTCTTAACAGTTCGAGTTTCCTAATGATATTAGCCCTAAATAAATCCACATACATATTTATAGGAAAATACGGAGAAATCCTAATAAATGACCTAATCCGGCTAAATCTCTATTAACCATAATAATAATAGTTATACTACTATAATTAATAAGAGAAACACACGAAAACTGTGTTTCTAACAACTTGTTGTCTATCTACTATACTTATAATACGCCGAAGGGAAAACGGGAGCTTCATTTCAAATTTCCTGCAACGAGAGTGAAAGTAGTAAGGACATTTTGGTCTTCACAATTACTTTTTTTTATTCATTAAAAAGACACGTACTGGGATTCGAACCATAACCATTTTAAAGACAAGCAAGGATAATAACCAATCACACTAAACACATTTATTGTATCTTTTTAAATTAAAAACATATAATAGCAGGGAGGAAAAAACCTTTCCCCCATTTCAAATTCCCTACTCCATGAGCGTTTGTAGGAAGGGTAGAATAGGAAGTGTCAATTTTTTTCTCTTTCCTCTGTGGAACGGGCCAACTTACCGTACACATGTGAATTTAAACGGGTCCAGGAGTGTCAATTTTTTTTCTTTAAGCCCTTTTATTTCTCCGTGGTGATAAAATATATATGAAAAGGCAAAAATAATACTCTTTTTTATTGTTAAAAATAAAAAATTAACAATAAACTAATGCATGGTATCTAATGGGCTAACCGCTAACCATAAAATAAAAGAGTTGAATGGGCCTGACCTACATGGGATTTGGCCATCAAGTAAAACAAATGAACATCATTGGTTTGTCATTCTAAAACAAACTAATTTCTCTGGCATAATATATATTATGCTATTATTTTATATCTTAGTGGCTAAAATATAATGTATTTTAAAGTTATTCAACGGTTCAACCTCGACCAACACAATTAGTCCAATTTTTATCATTTCAAATATATATTTTATAATTATTTGATATCATAATGATCAAATTATAGTGTATTTTATAGGGAATCGTTTGGTATTTGTTAGTAAAAAACTAAACATAAAGATCTATTTGGTTATTTTAAACATTATAACGATCCTAAACATTTTCAGTTCCTTTTGAATTTCTATGGTTTTATTCCCGAATAAGTGATGTGCAAATGGTGAATTGTAGTCGTCTCTTTTCTTTCACTATTTTTTATTTTCAAATAGAAAGTTTAAAAGTAAAGAATAATTAGAATTTGGCATGGGTCGGTCAAACAGGCTGAATTTCAAGTTTTGGCCCGTTTGTTTTATGCATTGCAAATTTATTAGCATGTTGATGAAAATGGCTTGGAAAAAAGACATATAAGTTGTACCTTTGCAGAAATGTCCTCAAATGTTTGAATGCTTTGAGAATCAGGTTCCGTGACTTTTGTGATGGTGTATGTGCTTGACAATTGCTCGATGTTGTAACTGCTTAATTTGAGAGTAAATCTTTTGATTTTCCCTATGAGTTGTGATACCAGTTCTGGTGGTTGCAGCATGTTATCGTTGTTGGCCTGTAAAAGTTGTTCCGCTGTGGTGCTAAATACCTTTCTTTCTTTTTTAACAAATTGTGTAGTAGTGCTACGAAACAGACCACCCATGAACACTACGCTTATTATGGTCTGTTCTTACTTCCGGTGGTGAGAAATTGTGAATTGAAAATCATATTCACCTACCGCACTGTGTCTGGCTAGTGGCTGCTTACTATGCTCTTTATAGTTATGAAACATACTACCCATGAACGTTACCCTTAAGAGTCCATAACTTTGCGAAAAACCAAATTTAGGCAATCAAAGGTGGTGGATGTGTGATGATTTTTTATGGCTTAATTGTTTGTGAATTGGATACCTGATCTTTGTATGATTAGAGGGGATGTTTGCTTATAGAATAATCCATTTTAATTCGTGTTTATTTTTAACATGAACTTTAGTAACTCAAAAATTTCGAGACACATATCACCTACTGCATTGTATCATTTTGCCTGGGTGCTTGCTGTGTTGTCAAACTTCTTTGCTGCTGCTGCTTTTACACTAACAGGGGAGTTAAAGAACCCATGAATGTTTCTGTTTGACACAAACAGGAGGACTTGCTTCTAAATCGTGCACTAAAGATGATTGGAGGAAACATCTCTATTGCAGTTGATATACTGGAGACCAGAACAAAAGCAATGTATAACATCAAAACCAACCATCTGAATTATTAGCATTGTTGCTTTACTATTTTTTCGTGGTTGAGTCTCTTTCAAAAAATTTAGTTTGATTTTAGAAAATTTTGCTTCTGCAGTCCTATCCTGCCACCAACGCGTTCAGTAGATGGAGATGGCAGAGGCGAAGGCTATTTTCGTGTTGTTGTTGTTGCTGGTTTAGGGATCGGTTTGTGAAGAAGAGGGAGAAGAGAGGGGGAAAGGGAAATGCATGAGAGGGGGGTAACTCTTTTCTCTGACAAAAATGGAGTGAAGAAAGGAATTATGATCAGTAAGGATATGGTTATCTTACATAACGGTCTCTATTCTGTTTGAATTGAGCTTGGGAGGCAGTGATAAGGACGAGCTGCAACCAATTCATAGTGAGAAGAGAGCTATGAACTGTGATCATGTCTTATTTCAAGTTAGAAGGTAGTTTCAGTATAAGGATTATTTAATTTGACAAGTTGTTTCGTCCATGATTATTGGTAGTTTCAGTGCCATTCTAGCCATTGTTTAGTCTGTAATTTTTGAGAATTGATGTGCGAGTAATGAGTTTCACTTAGCTTCAACTATTATGTGTGTATTTATTGGCATGTGATAGAATTCTCTTTTCCTTTTCTTTGAATTCAGTTTCATACTCTAATTGTATCATTTGTACATAGGCAAATCATGCCCGAGATGACAACTCGCTGATATGGCTGGTGCAAGGAACGAAGCCATCATTAGAATTCAGACCGACAACGGGGAGGGATGCCCAGGACTAATTCAATGATGATTGATGATGGTATAATAAAAACTGCAGTTTGCATCATCACCAATTTCTAGGCCTAAGTAAAGTTATTCAACCCAGAACTCTGCTTAACGCTAAAAATTTCCCTCGCCCAACCTTGATCATGTTTGACCCACTTCTGAAGAGTCAAGATATATTATGACTAATCCTCTCCGTTTGTATTTTCTTATTGACTCTTTCTGACCCTTTAGGTTGGGGCGGGTCGGGAAGAATCGGATTAGTGGGTCGGTCCTAATCAAGTGGAATCTCAATCCCTTCACTCTCACTTGCTTTCTCTCCTATTCCACAAGTGGGTAACATACAGTCATCCGGCCAACGAGCCGGGTAATAGGCTAGTATTTCTCAATTAAGCCATCTTTTTAGACGAAGGCTTTCTGATTCGAGCATTAATGGATAGCATAGCAATATAGCAGCAGCAAAAGCATGCTTATACTACCGATTCACACCTGGCCTGTAAATGAAAATTATGGTGAACAATGAACATAGTTTCATATAAAAGTTGAAAGGTCCAGTGATGAGATGCGAAACGAAGAGATCCATGAAATGAAACCCAATCAATTCAGAAAAGTTTCTGAAACTTTTAACTGCAGATAGATCCTGCAGCTCCTCTTGAACCCCATATTATGTAGCAAGACAAGGAAGTAGATTTTGTTTAACTGAAACAAACAATATAGAAAGACAAAGCACACTTAAGTCCTCGTAGAATGTGAATATAAATGAATTAGTGAGTTGGAGCGAGAAAATCAATAGAGAAGAAAGCACATTTCGACCCATTTATCAAAAAAAGAAGATTTCAGATTCAAGTCATTCTTGTTCCCGTTCTCTTTGAATTAATTAGAAAACTTCTCGTCCCTCTTGTTGTGTCTCTCTGACCTGCCACTTACTAAAGTTCGGCGAGCCCGCAACTGAGATCCAAACACAACAGGGGAGATTGGAGATGGAGGGATGAAAGAGGGAAGGCGAAGGGATTGCATTGCAACGCACGGAAGCTTGTACTTTGGCGCAGAAAGCATACCCAGCTTTCATGTTTTAAAAGAATCTCCAGACTTCAGAACGATCTGTCATGCTTACAAAAAAAGAGACGAATGGAGCACTTCAAAGAGACGATAAACCCCCTTCTTTCAATAATTCCATTCAAAGTATCTACTAAACCTCTACAACCAAAGTCAACTATCACCAACGTCTAAAGCTTGCCAACTGATTTATTCGAGTGGGCAGAAGAAGGCAAGACAAAGTTGTAACTATAACAATGTAAAATACGTATATCTTTCCTTTGTTTCTTCCCTGCAGTTTCTCATATGGAGAGATCAGCCAAGTCAAACGTTCTCTCAACAGCTTTCCCCCAAGACTCCAACTTCTTCTTCCTCAAGCTCTCCTCCAGGTTTGGGCGGAAAGTTGTGTCCGTCTTGCTCGTCCCTCCAGAGGCGAAGATCTCGCCTTCTTTCCATACTCCTATGGCCAAACCCGCTGCATAGGCTGCTCCCAGTGCTGTTGTTTCTATGTCTGCTGGCCTCACCACAGGGCTCCCAAGCAAGTCTGCCTGTTAAACCACGAAATGCAAACATAGCCAGAAAGAATCAGAGAGTAGATACCCTTCACTCAAACAAACTGGTAGCAACCTCAAATTCTGATTCTTCATCATTAACACATTGATAGCATGAATAACTACAATATAGCTTTTCGATAGAGAAGATTCAAGACCAAGGCTTTCACCAAAAACTATACATTCTTCTTTCGAGATCCATTCATCTCCATGAATTGAGAACTGACAGAGTACATAGAGATTTTTTTAATGCTTGGTACTACCATAAGTTCTATACCAAATACCCCTATTTCAATCAAGTAATTAAGTACACAGGAAATTTGAACAAACTAGTTCTCTTTATATGAGATAACAAGAATGGTTAAAAGGCCCAGAAAATAGGATTTGTTTCTAAAACTAAAACAACCTACAGAGAGTTGGCACTGTACTGGCTCTTCCCTATTTTCAGTAGACTGAAACCAGTAGAACATGGTTACCTTTTCCACCTCAAATAAGTGGTCTAGAAGTTAAAGTGCATGAAAAAGATAATCAAATTTATCAGATGTCCCCAAAATGTTGAAAACAAGTAGTGATCCACGTGTCCTGAGAAGATCTAAATTTACATGCACGGCACCAAATGGTTGATAAGTGACTCCATGATTCTCCGGGGAAAAGTGGATGCTATTCTGCAGAGCAATTCATCCCTGATAGACCAACCTAGACAGAGCAAATGAGTCCTAAAATACACTAATTCCTTGTTGAATCCAACTTGATTGTCAACTCTACCCCTAGTGAAAACAACATAAAACACTCCTTCCTAACGAGTTTATTATAATTTCTATTTGTCTGCAAAAATTAGACAAGCGATAAGTGTTTATTGAGGACATCAGATGCATGAGGTACTTCAAATTCAAAACATAGCATGCGAAAAATGGCCCCAGAAGCTCAAACCTGAATCTGCATAAGAAGGTTGTTAACAGTAGCACCACCATCCACCCTAAGCAAAAACTCTCCTCCCTTCTGTTTCGCATCTTTTTGAGACGCATCTTTGTGCATCGAATCCAGCACGTCCTTCACCTGAAAACACATGCTTTCCAGCACAGCTCGGGCAATGTGAGACCTGTTTGTGAACCTCGTGATCCCAATACAAACACCACGAGCATCATCTCTCCACCACGGAGCAAACAGCCCATTGAAAGCCGGGACAAAGTAAACACCCCCAGCTGACTCCACCTTCAGCGCCAACTCCTCAATCTCTTTGGCACTCTTAATTATACCAAGACTATCCCTGAGCCACTGTACTGCAGCTCCTGCAATAGCAATGGAACCTTCGAGAGCATAGTTCGTTGGCGCATTTGGACCAAGCTTGTATGCCAAAGTGGTAAGGAGCCCATGCTTCGACTTAACAATTTCCTCTCCAGTGTTGAGTAGTATGAAGGCACCAGTTCCATATGTGCTCTTGGCCTCACCCTTTCGACAAGCTTGTCCAACCATGGCAGCATGTTGGTCTCCCAGGCAACCGGCAATCGGTATGCCAGTAATCGGCCAGCCTTTTTCAATCTTGCCAATGACCTCAGAGTTGCTAACGATCTTGGGAAGGATCCCAGGTGAGATTTTCAGAGCTTCCAATGTGGCCTTATCCCAATCAAGAGTCTTGATGTTCATCAGCATGGTGCGGGAGGCGTTGGAGACATCAGTGACGTGCAATCCACCATTGATTCCACCGGTTAAATTCCAGATCAACCAAGTGTCTATTGTTCCAAAAAGGGCGTCCCCAGTTTTAACAGCTTGCTTAACTGCATCAACGTTTTCCAACAGCCAGAGTATCTTGAGCGCACTGAAGTATGTGCTGATTGGCAGCCCACATGTATCCACGAAGTGGGTCCTTCCTCCAGAGAATTCTTTCTCCAATTTCCTAGCAAATTTTAAAAAAGCAAGTTCAAGACATCGCCTTCAAATCAAATGATCAAATACAGAACAAAAGATACAATGAATGAATCATATTAGTAACCAACTGCCAATCTTCAGAAAGTCAAATCAAAGGGTACATGAACAAATTAAAGAGATGAAAACGCAACAACCCTCAATCGTCTATTATTGGGTAAAGGCCAAAAAGAGAAGAAGGAAAAGGACAAGGGAACAGGATTTAGGCAAAAAAGTAGCTTAGAAAAGAGACCTGCAAATAGCACTGGTGCGTACGTCCATCCAAACAATGGCGTTGTAGAGAGGAAGGCCAGTGGACTTGCTCCAAATGAGAGTGGTCTCTCTCTGATTGGTCAACCCAACAGCTTTCAATAAGCCATCAACGTTATGGCCATCGGCGGTAGCCTTGTCCATGGCTTTGGCCATACAGATTTTGACGCTCTCCAGAATCTCCAGTGGATTGTGCTCCACCCATCTGCGCACACAAAATCCACCCAACGAAATCCGAAATCCATGAAACAGAATTCAACACATATCAATTCCCCAATTAAGATGAGAAAAAAAAAAACAGGGTGGGAGGGAAATGATTCACGAACCCGGCTTCAGGGTAGAACTGAGTGAACTCGACCTGGTGAGATCCGATGCATTTGGTGTCTTGATCGTAGATGATGAATCGGGTGCTGGTTGTGCCTTGATCAATTGCCCCGATGAAAGCGACTTCTTTCTTCGCCATGCCTGCGCCTTTCTGGGTTTCTCTCTGGGGGAAATTGGGTTGCTTGAGCTTACCCTGGCTTCGATAAAACCGAGAATGGAGGATTGGTTGGGGTGTGAATGAATGCGAAGATGGTTGGTTGGGTGACTGATCCGAAGAGATTAAAAGGAGAGGGAAGGCAAGGGAGGGTGGGACTCTCTGTTAATATATTCCAATTAAGCTATGGATTGGAAGCTCAGCAGATACTGCTGACTTTGAGTTTCTCGATTTGATTTTATCCTCTATCCAATCATTCAATATTTTTCGAATGCTTATCATCATGCCATTTTCGTTTCCCCAAATCAAATTTCCCATTCTTGTTTGATTAAATCATTTCTATATGTATATCCAATATCACAACTACCAAGGATAAGGTAGTAAAACAATTGCATTGGATCCATAAATAAAATAATAAAATAATAAAAAAAAACAATTGCATTTGATGCTTAAAAGGTTCACACTTTATCATTAAGTTTCATTAAACTTTAATTAGGATTTAGATTTTAGGTGATAAATTAGGATTTAGATTTTAGGAGTCAAAACCTTTTCATAATGGAACATTAACAATCATTTTTTTTTATAAATAGAACATTAACAATCATTAGCTTAACGATAAAGGAAAAGAATACATTTCAAGTTTGGTCTCTGGATTTACTAAATTGTTTCACGTTTTCAGCTAAAAAATTGTACGTCATTCGCGCAGTTACTATGATTAGTTCAAATTTGATCACTAACCGTCCAATTCTGTTAACTATATCTAATGTTGCAGTCAACTCTCATAGTTGACCGTTATATTAGTGATGTGACGGTTAAAAAAATAAAAGTTAATCTTTTAAAAATTTCACAAGTATTAGAAAATAAAAATAAGAACTTCATTTCTTACTACTACTAAACACCAAAACCAACCAAAGAAAGAAAATGGCGGCACAAGCAGCTTAATCTCTAGTCTCCCCAGCAACCCGCCGATCACTGTGTCCCCAAAACCTTGGATCAACAAGCATCTCTCCGATCAACCTTTAAAACCCATTTCTACCTTTGAAAATAGCGGCACAAGCAACTCAATCTCTAGTCTCCCCAAGCAACCTTCGAAACCCCGCTCCTGCGGGATCTCTTAAAGCTCCCCTCTAATCGTGAACCTCCACAATATCATTCTCTCTGACCAACTCCCCCACCGCGTCCTCTGCTCCTTCGCTGCCCTACACGAACCTCGAATGCACCCCCAGCTCGGAGAGGTCCAAACCCTCGTATTCTCCTCATCTCGGTATGTTACGTGGATTCTTTGGATAGAACCTCCCACGCAACGTGTTTCGCAAGAAACCAATGACAAACTAAAGAAATAGACTTCAGACGGAAAAAGAATTAGGGCTAGAACGATTAGAAATAGACTTAGGCCGAAAAGAGGTCAGACGATAGAAGAACGAAGCAAGAAAGTGATTTGGGTTCCAATCTTCTCATGACATTAAATGAAAAAATGAGTACATATTCATAGGTATAGAACCTCTCCTTTCTCCTACCTAAAACATGACTCCTACTACTACAATGAAATAACTTACAATAAATCAAATCCTACTTTAACCAGAAAAACATTAATAAAGACAATAGTAATGAAAGACTAAAATAATATAGATACACAAGCTCGGATAATTGGCCCAATTGCTACGATGGATTGGTTATCGTAATAATCCCCCCACCCCTCAAACGCAACCTTGCCCTCAAGTTTGGTCGTGTTCGTAGATGAATCGACCTTCCTTGCCCTCCTTGGGAGGCCCCACCATAAGAAGGACATTGTGATTTGCACAATGATGCCCAATAGTGAAAGGCTCGTCGCAATGGAAACAAAAGCCTTGTGTCCTTCTCCTTGTTAATTCCTCTGGTTACATTCTTCTTGCATTAGGAAATCGCGGTGGCGCGGGTTGAGGTGGTGAGAGTGTAGGTTCGGTCGCCTCCTCCACTTGGCCTTTTGGTGTATTTCTTGGTGCTCCTTGATGTTTGGCCAACTCATCATTCTTCACTTTTAAAAGTAGAATGGCCTCTCACAGTGTTCTTGGCCTAAACATGTGTATCGCGTCCGAAATCTCCAGTTTAAGCCCACCACTGAAGGAGCCCACCAACACGTCTTCAGTCCACCCATAGCATCAATTACCCAACTTCTCAAAATTAAGAGATAATCGTTCAATGATCCCATTTGTTTAATCTTTGCAAGAGCTTCGTGGCTAGAAGTGCTTTCCGAAGGTCCGAATCGAACCCACAACTCTTCTCTAAACCGAACCCATGTGATTGATTGCCCGGTCGTTGTAGTAGTGTGATCCACTCATTGCCACCATTGATTAGCATCTCCTTCCAAATGATAAGATGCCAAAAGTACCTTTTGCTCCTCTGAAATTGCTTGAAATTTGAAAAACTGCTCGACTCGCGCAAACCATCCAGATGGATTTTCTCCCCCATTATATTTAGGAAAATCAAGTTGGGCTATTTTGCGCTTGAAGAGCCAACTCTTTTTTTCTCTCCCATTAATTCCTGCCCCAGTTGGCCACGCCTGACTTGGCCCGGCTCCATTAAATTTTTCCGGAGCCCAATCATTGCCCAGCCCAGTCCCCATGCTCGGCCCAATCATAGGAGAGACCATCTGGCCTCCTCCATTCTCTCTTAGCGATTATTGGTCGAAAATAGCCAGGCCCCCCTGTAGGGATCCGCCTCCCGCTGAGTAGCCAGTCGGCCCCTGCCCACCACCCAGCCCATGCTCGGTGTGAGATTCTTTGTGTGGATGGGGCCAAAGAGAAGCTCATAGGGATGACAACAAAACCCGAACCCACGGGTACCCACCCGACCCAATCCGGTCAACGCGGGTAAAATCTGTGTTGACGGGTTTTGGGCCGGGTTTGGGTTTAAACCCGTTCACTATTCACCGGGTTGGGTTGGGTTTGGGTTTAGGTAAACCCGACCCATGGGTACCCGCCTACATCCATATAATTAATTTTCTTGGTATATTTAATATTATAAACAACTAATCTTACTTATGTGGAGACATGTCTATTTTTTTCTTTCTAATTGTGTAGAATGAAGTTGACGTTATCTAGTGAGAGTGAAGAAACTTAATTGAAAGGAAGAAGCTTTCAATTAATCATGTTATTTATGGATAATTTGTGATTTGCTTCAATTTTCTTGAGTTTTCTAGATTAGTGTTGAACAATTTGTATAGTTTATTTGTGATTTGCTTGTATTTTCTAGAATTGTGTTTTAAATATGGATAATTTGTATTGAGAGATTGATATTTGAATTTAATTTTGATAGGAACTTGTTATTGTAAATTTTTTACGACAAAAACCCGTGGGTACCCATAAACCCGCGGATACCCAGCGGGTTGGGTTGGGTTTGAGTTTTTCAAACCCAGTGGGTTTTACCCCGGATTTTTTTCACGGATAAACCCATGGGTTTGGGTTTGGCAAAACCCGACCCATTGCCATCCCTAGAAGCTCACGACCAACAACATTAGGAAATTTCAACATCTCACACAGAATGGCAGTTGCCCCAAATGCCAAGTAGTACTAGAGACTAAACTCCATTGTTTGGGGACTATAAAGCAGCTAAATATGTCTTGACCAGAGTTGTTCCATGACACCTTCTACCTCGCTTCTTCAATACATATTAAATCAGTTGGCTGAGATCAAATCTATAAGATCGAGTTGAAGGCTCATTGTCAGGTGATTGGGCAAGCTTTTTCTCTCTTATATGTGGTTTTTATGAAAATGCAGGAAAGAGAACATCTTTCATAGGAAGTTATTGGCTCTATCATCACTTCTCAACTATGTCAAGACCAAAGCCATTGAATGGGCAAAATGTTGGCAGTCAGCTACTCTAAAGATGGATACTACTACAAAACCTACAACAACAAAGACTTGGTAGGATGGAACTTACCTCCCCTGGGATGGATGAAACTCAACACAGATGGCGCAACGCAAGGAAATCCAGGCGTGATAGCAGCGGGAGGTGTCCTCAGAGATAACAACGGAAAATGGATTGGAGGTAGAGGTGGCAAATGGATTGGATTGGTGGATTGGGGATTGGATTGGTGGATCCATGGATCAAATGGATTGGATCTAATGGATTGGTGGATTCATGGATTGGATCAAGTGGATTGGTGGATTATCCATAAATCCAAATGACATCCTCAACCAATGATCAATATGTAAAATGTAAAAAGTTTAGGTACTAAAATGTCATAATGAAAATTTTTAGGTACCAAAACATAATTTTCCAATGATATTTTTCGTGTAAAAAATAAAATTTATAGGTACTAAACCGTAATTTGCCAATGATCCATGGATCCAATCCATGAATCCACCAATCCAATTGGATTTGGATAAAATGGATTGGATTTAAATGGATTGGATTAGGTGGATATTTTTATTGGATTGATGGACTGGATTGGTGTATTGGATTGAAATTGCCACCTCTAATTGGAGGAGTATGCACAAAACTAGGATTAGTCACAAAAATCGTGGCGGAACTTTGGGTTATTCTCCAAGGTCTCAGGTTGGAATGGAGAAATGGGTAAGCTATCTTGTGCTTGAATCTGACTCCCGACTCGCTCTAGATTTGATCAATCAAACTACAAATGCACTACACCCTCTTGCTACCTTACTAGGAGCAATTCGCCGTCAACTAGCTAAGAGTTGGGTGGTGAAGTTAGTCCATACGTATCGTGAAGAGAATAAAGTCGCGGACTGGCTTTCGAAACACAGTCTCGTCTATCCCTTTGGATCGTATGAATTAACTGAACCCCCACATGCTCTTCAAACAATCCTCATGGACGATCTTATTGGAGTCAGCTTCCCTCGGAGTAGGGATGGAAATCAAACCCATGACCGCGGGTACTCGACCACCTCCGACCTATTCAATGCGGGGAATCCCTGCATTGACTGGGTATAGGGCGGGTATGGGTAAAACCCGCAAAAAGTTTGATGGGTATGGGGCGGGTATGGTTTTAGCCTCTCCTGCCCCATACCGATACCCATACCCGCCTCACCAATAATATTTCTTCACATGTAAAAAATACATGAATCAAATTGAAACCTATCAATGACAGTGAAAATAACTTAAGACAATATAGAGTAGAAATGCAATTGAGTGGCCACCCAAGTGGCGGCGAGTAGGGGAACCGTTCTCCCCTCAGGGATTCAGAGGCATTTGCATCATGGAATGAGGCTTCATCTGCACCACCGTATAGACCTTTTCTATGCGTCATCTTCGTTCATCACGCTTATCATCACTTGCGTAGGATCACTGCCCAGCGTTTTGAAAACGCGATAAAAAATTGGGTTTACATCCAAATCTAGTTCCTTTACGTCAATGCTCGTTTCATTCTTTCACTTTTTCCTCTTGTTAGCAAGATAATTATGTTAGTTAAGTATTACTTAGTAGATGTGTCAGAGTTAGAAACCAATAATTTGGAAAATATTATACTTTATCTTATTGATTAATGGATGTTTTAGGATCATACGATTCCATCCATATCAAGAATAATTGTTATCTTTGTTGACTTAATGATATAGTAGGATTTTTTAGCGTTATAATAGAAAATTTATATGTAAAGTTTTGGGGCGGGTGTTGCCCATTGTCATTCGAAACCCACGGGTATGGGAATGTGTTTGCAAAACTTTCTCTTGCATAGGTATGGGTGTAGGGATGGCAATTTCGACCTGACCCATTTTACCCGACCTATTTGGCCTGTTTTGGGGCGGTGCGAGCATGGGTACTCTCATCGACCCGACTGCCCTGACCCGTCCCATTCTCGACCCGTTCTTGCCTAAATTACATGTAATCTTAGTCAAATTACTTAGGATTTTTCCTTTATTACATCATAATTTAGCTATAATAAAGTTGTAAATTAGTGAAAACATCAATTTCTCTAATAATTTAACTACATTTATCATAATAATGTTTGTTTTCTAGGTCTTATAATAAAAATAGCGAATATTTCTAATGTTTTTCATATAAATTGCATACTCATTGGGTCGACCTGCCCCGACCTGTGACCCGTGATAAATTACCCGACCTGGACCCGACCTGCCACGGGGCAGGTCTGGGTACCAAGAAACCTACCCCAAATCTGCCTCATTGCCATTCCTAAATTTGGGTGAGTACGAATTTGAATATTTGAAAACATGGATGTAAATGGTTTAGACAAATACAAACCCGCCCATTGTATATACGATATACAATTACTTGGTCATCAGAGTCATGCAGGATATTACTTGATCATCTTGCTGTAATGACTTTGGTCATGTCGTCTTGCGCTCTTTATGAGCTCCCCCTAGTAACCTGGTTTTTTGTACACCATTAAAATAAACACAGGTAAATGTCACATTTGGTCACTGAGATACTAAATTGTGTCATGTTTAGTTATTAAAAAAATTTAATATCGATTTTGGTCACTCTAATTACTGAAACAGGTCACATTTAGTCACTCTCCTATTAGCCTCCGTTCAACTCCGGTCACTCGAATTATTGAAACATGTCACATTTAGTCACTCGAATCACTAAAATATGTCACATTTAGTCACTCTTGCGATTAGTTTCCATCCAACTCCAATAATGGAGTTTGACAGAAACAAACCGAAAAGTGACTAAATGTGACTTGTTTCAGTAATTCGAGTGACCAAAATTGATATTAAATTTTTCTAGTTACTAAACATGACATGATTTAGTAGTCTCAGTGACCAAATGTGGCATTTACCCATTAAAATAAATAAAAAAATGGACCCCACATTTTATATCTACAAGGTTTCCTTAAAATAAATGATTTATTAATTTATCACATTTAATAAGGAACCCTTGTTTGAAATTTTGTATTTTGGTGGCTAAAATACCTCGTATGCCACTTAAGTTTCAGAATTGGGGCATGCATACCACTTAAGTTTGAATAGGGCGTCGGATACCACTGAACTTTATTATTTGTGCACCCGGTACCACTTAAGTTTAATGTTAAGTGCATTCCGTTAAAGAAAACAGAATATTCTTGGAATATTCTGTTTTCTAAATTTCTTAATTGGTCCTTCTACTTTTCTTATTGTAAAAAATCATTTTTGACTTATGAAAAACATCAATTTTTATTATTTAATTGGTATCCTCTTTTGAAAACTTGATACCAAATTAATTTTTGAATAGAAAATTTAAAATCAATTATTCTTATAAGTATTTTCAATTATTATTATGTTTTCTAATAATTGAATTATTCTCCTTTTTTTTTTTTGAAGATTTTGATACCAAACCAATTTTTGAATAGAAAATGTACAATCAATTATCATTATAAGTACTTTAAATATTATGTGTTATAATAATCGAATAATTTGCTTAAACAAATATATCCTATGAATTCTATATCGATATAAATATATGAGGATGTTATATTTAATTCTCGTACATCATTTGGATGTTGTATAATTTTCTTGGTTACTTTCGTTCTAAATTTTCTTCAATTACTGTAATATGTTTAATTCTTTCTAACTATGTTCCATTTATCATTCTTTGGTCTTGATGTATTGATGATCGATTAGATTCTATTTTAACTATGTTTAATGCTACTTCTTATCGGATTAGTGATTTAAATAGATCTTCTAATATTGATTTTAAATATTTATTATTATATTTTATATATTTATTCTTCTTCTTGATATTTGTTTATTATTTTTACTAACTTATCTATTTTATTGAAAATTTTGATTAGTCATTTTAGTAATATTATGTTTAGAAGGTTTGTTAATTTCTAATAAACTTGTTGAAATATAGTTTTGGATGTTTTTAAAAGTTTTGGGTACCAAAAAGTAATTAAAATTTTGGGTTGGATGGAAAACTAGACGGATGCACATTTTGGTGACTTTAATGGTACCCTACGCCCTATTCAAACTTAAGTGGTATGTCACTTTAGTGGTACCGGAGGTATTTTACCCTATTTTGGTCAAGATATTAAAAAAAAAAAAAGTTGCGTTGATTATAATATATTATATCTTGCTACTCTACTAGATAACTGTATGTATGTACGATATGAAGATGGACAAGAGATTCAAAGGCTTGAAGAGAATCGTTGATCTTGCTACTACTTGCAGAATTTGGTCACTAACCGTCACAGGGATGATAACGTTTCTTTGTATTCTGAATTTGTCTCGGATCATAACTTAAATAACAAGTAGGCTGTGACCGAGAATCAGAATTCAGTGCTTATTTTACTCGAGGTGTGGGGCAAAACCCATGACCAGTTTGTTGCTTAATCGTCAGGAGGACATTCTGCACACAGAAGTCGTTGGAACTCATTCCCGAGTTTCAATAACAAATGACCGTTCCAGGGTCGAAAGCATCGCGTTGGCCTCGCAGTAGCTAGCAACAATAACTCAATCTACTGCAGCCTGGCGTGGCTGGCATTTTGCGCTGCTGCTTATGCTAGAGTCGCTCGTTTGCCCTTTGCATCCCTCACCTGCATGCATATTCAGTACCATGGTTAGTAAATGGACATGTAGTGCGATACTGCGATGCCGGATGCTGGAAAGCAGCTCCTTCCGGACAACGATGTGAGAGACAGAGAAATGAGAACAACAACCTGTGCGTCAACTGATCTTTTGGAATCCAAGAACTGGCTATAAATGCCGTACAGTCTGTGCTTCTCTGATTCAGAAATCGATGGTCTTGCTTTGGAAGCAATTGCCTTTAAGACGGAATCAGTTATCACCGGCTTTTTCACAGGCTCGTGGTTGTCGGAGGTGGTGCTGCTCAAAAATTCATGAACTGCAGCAAGCTGTGCGTCAGATAGTAGAGCTTGTAGGTCAGCTCCACTAAATCCCTCTGTAATCTGAGCCATGCTGTGTAAGTTCGTATCTTCAGACAGTGGCAGCTGCATTCAGTGCGCAAAAAGAAACCAAGTCAAACCACCGAATAAAGAAAACCCCACCCTGTCATTCTGTGTTCAGTTTTATATGGATTCTGGAAAAGGAAAGAGGGCGCAGAGTAGTACACCATAGAAATTAAAACAATCCAAACTATTTAGATCTGAATTTTCAAGGAGAATTCTAGCAATTCAGCCATTGAGGACATAAAAGGAGACTCGAACTTTCTTGGTGCATCTTGTCTGACATAAATGAAACAACCAAGTCATGTTAACATTCATTCTAGCAGCTGCTACTTCTATTGCCCAACATTTCAAGCATCTAAACTAATGCAGGATAGAATGTTCACGCACTAGATCACACTGTGCACATGGAGAAACAAAGAAAAGAAAGACAGAATGGACAGTATTCTTCCACTAACCTTTCTGCATAGAACTTTAAGAATATCCAGCCTCTCTTGCTGAGATGGAAAATCACAGAAAAGAAGCCTATCGAGCCTACCGGGTCTCAACAATGCAGCATCAAGCAGATCAGGTCGGCTGATTGAAGAGGACAATCAAAGGATGAAACAGAAAGAATCAGGGCAGCCCATTAAAATTGCATTGTGGAAGAAAAACATCAACTTCTTGGGACAAACCTTGTGGCAGCAAATACAAAAACACCAGTCAAAACTTCAACACCATCTAATTCAGTCAGAAACTGGAAAAAGAAACATTTCGTAAGACACCAAATGTATAAAGGCAAACCCACAAATAAATCAAAGAGAAACGTACTTGGTTGACTACACGATCAGTCACACCAGTATTATCATGTCCCCGTTTAGGAGCAATTGAATCAAATTCATCAAAGAAGAGAAGGCAGGGTGCTGCGGCAGCTGCTTTTGAGAAAATATCACGAACCTGATACAAAGCATAGCCATCTGTTGGACCAAACTCTCTTTATCGCAGTCACATTGAACTAATATTTGCAGGAAAACACTGCTTATGTTGAGATATAGCGTAGTTACATGTACATGTGGAATCAGTCACTGCTAACTAAATTTCATATCTCTCACAACCAGCAGATAAAATAAGGTGTCGCTTTTACCGCTGACAGAAACTCAATTGGCTCATAAGTAATCTCAAAGTGAACCAACACGACATTTTAGGTGCAACAGATTTGGTCCTTGAATGCAAAGGCTGCTGGAACTTGGATATGGAAAAGATTACTTAAGTGTAGAAGTGCTGTGCAGCAGTATTTCTCTGTTTCTGATAATGAGGTTAAATGGGATGATGTAGCAATGCACAGATATTCAGTAAAAAGAGTGTGGGAGTCAATTAGAGAGAAGGATGCTAAGGTTAACAAGTTCCCTCTGGTATGGAGTAAAGAGATCACCCCAAAACATGGTTTACCCTGTGGATGGCCATTCAGAACCGTTTGGTGTTTCAGGACAAGTTGAAACAGCGGGGGAAGAATGTGACAGGAATTTGCCTGTTATGCCCTGGTGGGATTGAGGATCAAAACCATCTCTTATCTCAATGTTCTTACACAGTTTTTGTATTACACAGTTGCCTGAAGAACAGAGCTCCTCCTGTCTATCTTGATTGGTAGGCTACCTTAGAATGGTGTGTGCAGAGCTGGTCCAAAAGGTTCTGCGGACAGAATCTGTCGACCGATTTGGTGTGTTTCTTTGAGCTTAATTTGGAGGGAGAGATGTTGCAGAATGTATGGTGCAAGAAGAGCTAAGAATCCAGAACTGCTTTGTCATGAAGTGCAGAATGTAGTAAGGTGTCGAGTGGCAGGGATTCAGGATCTCCAAAATGACTTTGACAGCCTAGAGTTTGGATGGTAGTTAGTGATACTAATATAGTTTTTTCTCTCACAGAGAGTTGTTTTTGTTTGTTCATCTGTTGATGTTTGTAATAACTTTGGTTTGAGAGGCTGCTGGGTTTATTTGCCCTGAAAGCCGGTTCTTAATGCTAATTTTTTTATTTTATTATAAAATATATATATATATATAGATGATCTTAGAAAGAGAAAGGGTCTTTAAGCCAGTCATAGTTAAACCCAAGAGCCTTTCCAGCATTTGGAAGGGGACTGAGACCTTTGCTTTACTTTTTTCTGGATGGAGAAAGTATAGCTACTTTTTTTGGTTCCGTCAACCTAAGAAACCAACTCTTGCGTCTAAATCTATGTTATACACGTCTAGTGATAATCATCCTACTTCTCCTGAGCTTTAGTGTGCAGATCCCTAAAGTAAGATCTCATTCCTAAGAAGAAGAACAAATGGTAAAGATGCAATGCAAGCAGTAGCTGAAGCATTTTAAAAGGCACATAAGAAATTCACATGTTTAACAAAAGGCAGCATGTATGAGAATTAAGCAATCAGTTTCTGCAGCACAAGCTATAAACATAAAAAGGAGAACAATCACAAAGAAATAAAACTATTATTCCATTTGCAAGAGAAGAGAAGATTGTAGGCATACCGCTTGCTCAGAAGCACCAATATATTTGTTTAACAGCTCAGGTCCCTTCACTGATATAAACCGCAGTGAACAAGCAGCAGCAGCAGCACCAACGATGTGAGTCTTGCCGCAACCAGGAGGACCATAGAGAAGAACATTTGAACGCAACCTTAAAGGAGCTTTTGCAAAGATATTTGGGAATCTTGATGGCAATTCAATCATCTGATATATAATACAGTGGTTAACATACTAAAATTCAGCATTGGAACTCTTTTCCAGCTAAAAGTGGTCATTACAAGTACAAGACAACTATGGGATCACCACATCAATCTTGTCTACATATCCAAGGCCATAAGTAAAATGCTAGTGTTTAGTAAATTGAATTAACAGCATTGGGTAGCTAAACCAATTAACAGAAAACTTGCAGTAAATGATTAAGAAGAAAATCACTTGGACAAGCCGAAGAGCAAAAGGAAACTAATAGGAAAAAGAGATTTGGAAATATTCTTAAGGCACAAAATACAGGGACTTGACATTTGGTTCCTCAAATGTATGAAACACGAAGAAAAGATAATATAAAACTATACCTCTCTTATAGCATTCCTCACATCATTCAGTCCACCAACATCTTCCCACCCAGCACGGCCACCTTCAGAAGCTGATTTAGTAATATCACGCATAGCAACTGGAAGGAACCCATCCATTGCCCTTGAGAAATCGCCCATAAGTAAGGTGGCTTTTCCAGGCTCTCCATTAGAATAAGGAAGAAAGCGACCAACAGCAGCATGTACAGCTCTATCAACCAATATTTCCTGACACAGTCAAAGTGCATTTTGCCAAGTTAAACCCTCCATGAGCACATAGTCTGTCAGGAAAACAATTTGAAATTGTAAAATTCCAATGGACGATTGGCAATACTTATGGTAGCACATAATCGAAGAATAGCATTTGATACACGGCAATGACCAGAGGATAAAATTTTCCTGTCCGTTTTTTCAAGTGTCCAGATGGGCTTCCAGGCACCAACCTTTCTCAACTCGCGCTGATCAGCGGATCACAGCTTAGACCGAAGATTCATGCAAAAATGATTGGCTGGTTTGAGTAGGTGATGGTTTAGAATGGAATATAAAAGACTCTTTTGTATCAAACAAAAATAATGTCACTAGTGTTCTACAGCTTAGAACCGAACACATGATAATTGCACCCATAAATTGAATAGCATATAGCAGGAAAATTTTGGTGCACTAGTTGAAGTATAGTGTCCGTAACCAAACGTAATACTTATATGAAGTGTGAATGGCTTAGGTGAGCTCCCCTATATCTAATTGAATTGATACGTTTATATAATAACCCCTAAACTACTGTGGTCATAAACCCTTTTAAAATAAAATACAGAAAAAACCACCAAAACATTAAGAAACTCCTAAGCCAATATAATGGAAGTTCAATTTGGCACTGGATTCATTTCCTCCTCTCTATATGAACATAAGGAAAGGCGAGAACCCATGTAATTAAGTACTATGAGAGCAATTTAATAGGGTATTCCACCATCCCCAACTGAAGAAACATAAAAAATCTTTCACATTAAACATCGAGGAAAATGAAAAAGAACCAATAGCCTTACCAGATCATACGCATCATAACCATCACATTTGGATGCTACATCCAACAAAATTTCTTCTGGACAATGTAAGGAACGCCTCTGTATTTCATGCTTCAGTATAGCCCCACGTTCAGATGCAGCAGGAGCAGGAAGTTGCACATGGAAGTCAAACCTCCCTGGTCAGACATCAATGGTAACAAGAAAAACTATTAGTGAGCAGCTGAGAAGCCAATGAATGATCTCTAGAGAAACAAAAGAACCTGAAGAGCTCAGTGATTGTGGGATATTCTCTAGTCTCTGCAGAGAAGCTATAAATGCAATTGGACCAGTGCCACATGAGCCATTCCTCTTTTCCTGCTCAAGAAAACATCAGATAAGCTAAATAGGAGATGAAAACTCAAGTAATCTTGACTGACCAAAGTATTTACTTCATAATCCAAGTAACTGACATCGTGATACACACTGATGCAATCATATGCCGGCGCAAGAACTTCTTACGGTGACATCTATATACATGTGATATGAGAAAAATAAATTATACTACTTCAATTGTTAAAGCACGAAAAGGGTGAAACATATCCTCATTAATCATAGCAAGTTGAATTCATGCAAGAGAAACAATAATGCTAGTGGGAAAAATCCCAGTGTCATATCCTGTTAGACAATCTCCTTTCTTCTTCTCCATACTACGACTTTAATCTAGCATCATCTGAAGAAGTTTGTACATAGAGCTACCATTACAAGCCACATTCTGAGATTGAACGACCTCTTGCTTAGAAGCTTATATTTCTTCTTTCAGGAATGATGGAGTAATACAATCTTATCTTAACAGTGAAGACGAAGTATGCAACAACCAGAAGACATTAGATCACTCAGAATCCAAGAGAAAGATCCCGAACAACAAACTGAATGCAGAGAAAGAGTTGTTTCTTATATTTTGAGCAATACTACAAGGCACCTTTCCCAGGTACATCACATATTGAATAATAATTGAAAGTATCTGAAAATCAAAATAAACAATGGCAACAACCCCAAAAGCACTAGAAGCCAAGGGAAGCAGACTGAAACATATACGAGCGAAAAATGCAACACATTTAAAATAAAATGACACAGCTAAAACAATAAAAGTATAGTACATACCCCATATTCATCAATAATATCAGCTAGGTATTTTGTCAATGCAGCAACAGAAGTCGAAGGTTGAGATCCTTCAGAATCAGAGGCTGAAACGATGCTATCAAGATCATCGAAGATTACAACAGATGGCGCATAGTCTAGCGCTTCAGAAATGGAAGCTGAAAGTTGTTGACGAATGGCTGAAGCCTTCTCCGAAGCAAGGGAAGAGCAGTTTACGAATACCCTGCAGACAAAAGCTCATTCCGGGGTTAATAAAACTCCCAGTACAGTTATCGAAATGCTGGTTTTCTCATGGGAAAATAAAAATAATCGGAAAAAGAACGCAAGTTGAAAGAGCTCATGGTAGGATACAGGAATACTTACACATGTGATAATATATCTTTATGTCTTTCAAGGAAACTGGCCACAGATCTTGCTAACATAGTCTTCCCAGAACCCTAATAAAAATGAATATCAACATTGAACATAGTGGAATATGATGGGTATGAAGTAAGAATTTTCAGGTTGAGAAAATAAAGACATCTGAAGTGGAATATGATGGTTATATATTACATGGGGTTAGCATTGATGCAAGAAAACCTATGAAACATAGGCACTATAATACCAAAAAATAATAACAAAGTTGAGAAGCAAACCAGTGTGGTTGATTGAAGCCTAAAGATATCTTATTCAGAAAAATTATCTGTTACTATGCTCTCCCATTTGCAACAAGCGCACAACAGAGAGCACCACTGATCACGACTTAGAAAGAGTTTGTCTGGGAAATGCAGCACAACGCCTCTTTCGACAATACAACACCATAGTCTCCTAGACATCGATGGGGATACCTTTGTTGCGGTTCTCAGCTTGCATTTACCTCGTTTTAAATTATTTGGTGAATGTTGTTAAAAGACGCTTTTATCATTATTAATAATTATTAATAGTAGTATTAGTAGCAATTATAGGGGGAGTTGGCTGCTAAGAAAGGCCAGAGTAGATTAGGGTTATTATTAGGATTTTGGAGCTTTTTCTTATAAATATGTACTCTGGGTCTTTCTTTCAAAATTAAGAAGAAAATGGAAGAAGTTAAACCAAAGTATCTTTCTCCCAAATAATCTTAATTCTACTCTCCTCACTATCTAGGTTGTAGGCTTCTTGATCCCTTTTCCCCCAAATTCTTCCTCCAAATCTCTAAATTTTGTTACCAAGTCTCTCTGATTCTCCTCTTTAAACCGTAGATCCACCCCAATATCAGTGTTTCTATCGTTTCTTCTTCAATGCATTCTCAATTCCAAGAATCTAGCCTATATCTATAGGCATTGATGTCTAATGCATTTACATTAACTAGGCACTTAGCGCAAGAACATGTTTACTTCTGAAGCTACTCGTAAATAATAATCTTAAAAATATTAAGGGAACAGAAACTATCTAGGAAAAAAAATTAAACAGAGTCTGTAGATCAAAAACAAAATAATCAAAATAAGAATAAGAATAACGGCACAGAAACTATTTAACAGATAAATTTTACCCACATGAGGTCCATATATCAGAACATGGCCAGGGAGAGGAAGTTTGTGACTGCCAAACCACAACCCAGAGCTAGGAGATAGCAAGACATTCACTCCTGCATTGAGAAAATTTGTATCAGGAAGACTTCTAACCGATTAAAAATCTTATGAAGCATGGAAATGGATGAGCAACGTGTGATGATTAAAGAACTACTCATTTAACCCGACTTACATCCATTATGTACTCAGGTTTCCATGCGTATCAAAGGTCAAAAGACAACTTAGTCTGAAGAAATAAATCAATACTAGTTTGTATTAGAAACTTGAAAGAATGCAATATGGCCCACATCAGACAATTTTTTCCTACTAAGACCAACATTATTTATTAAGTGTTTGTGAAACCGTACTTGCGATCCGACCGGAAAAACCTCCTACCGGAGCCTAAACCTACAGGCGGTTTTTTGCAATATGAAATGATTGACCCACTGTTCAACCATGATTTAAGCCCAAAACACCCTACCGCTAAATTTTCCGGTACAACCTCTGGTACGGTTATACAATCCTTGCCAGGAAAGTGTAGTAACACTTTCCGGAAGGTATAGTACAACCTCCGATATGGTTTTACACAGCCAGGAAGGTGTAGTAACACTTTCTAAATAGAGAAGGCAGGGGTAGTTATTTATGACGAGGTACAAACAAAAAGATTGCAAGGAGAAAGTACCTACTATTAATAACATCAGTTAGAGTTGATCCCATCCAGCTCAAAGTGGACAAATCTGATTCAAAGTCCTTTCCGGATACCCTTTCCTTAGTAGAATAGAAGGATAGAGGTTCACCAAGTTCAAGATTGCTGAGCAACTCCTCGAGTATCAAATGATCTCTTTTGCTCTTATCAAAGGAAAGTTTATATGCACATACATTTTTGTCATCTGAAGAATCCTCTGAAGCATTCAGCACAAACAGGTACTTCACTGGCTTTTCACCAAGCTTATCTTGTACGTCTGAATTTGAATCAGATGGTTCCAGTAAACTGTGCCTTCCAGACCCATAGTCAAGTCCTCTCATTTCAAAGTGCATTACAGTCTCATCTCCTAAAGTCAATGAATTAACCTCTACACCAGAGGCCGAAGCAATTGCTTCAAGTTGTGCAGCCACCCATGCATGAAGAAGTATGCCTAAAGTCTTTCTACTATCAGAACCACATACTCGTTCTGCACCCTCTGCATGAGGAAAAACAGATGAAAGAGTAGCTATGAAATCACCATGCGTGAAATGATCTGTTTCATTTAAGTTATTTCCTGAACTAATTCCGGAAGGCAGCATTTGAAACTTTTCCATTCTACGACTATTATGCACTTCCATGCCAAATTCTCCCTTCTCACCATCCCTTCCAAGCATCTTAATGTGGCAGGGAGACAATGAGAGCAAGGGAATATCCTCCTTGATATTACCATGGTATTCTTTCACATGCACCCCTGGAAAACACACAAAAGAATCAACTCAACCCAAGGGAAATTGGCAGATAAAATCAACCTTTGTCTGTTATGTCTGAAAAAGCTAACAAGCTACATTCTCAAAGCAAAATAAGTCTCCAAACTTGTCTATTGGAATGTCAAGGAGAATCCACGTACATGAATGCAGGCCAACTCTCATGCTCAAACGAAGAGACTCAGCTATCATTAGATGCCCTTTGGATACAGAGTCAGAAAAGAGAAGATGAATAATTGCTCGACGAGATACTTTCCTGCTTGTCCCATCTTTAGGTGCTGAAGTGCTTTTCATTCTCGATGCATCATTGTCAACCCTCTCTCTTGATGATAATTTTGGAATAAGAATAATCGACTGAAGAGGCTCAAACAAAAAGTATTTAGCAGTTTCGGGGTTGATATAAGCAACAGTAGTTAGTGCAACCCCCAAATCAACACCTTTGACATTACATTTCTGAAACAATCTTTTATTTGAATCTTGAATACGCAATAAGGCCTCCTTAACATTGCATTGCTTGTCAGATGAAGCATCTGATTTATTCACAAGCTTTTGTCGTCTCTTGGGAGCAACTTCTACTTCCGTATCATGAACAAGTTGTACTGTGGACACCAACAATATATCACTATATAAGGCTCAAAGAAAACTGAGCTTTAAGAATCAAGCATGGGCACTAGAAAGATCCTAATAAAGCAGACTTTGAACACTATTTACAAGAAAATATCCAAGAAGAAAGGAACTGCCGCCAATCGAGCTACTCCTCAAAACTGCTCAACATTATGATTCTCAATCCAGTAAGTCTAATAAGAAACTCAACCAAGAAGCACGAGGATTTCAAATTAAGAATGTGAATTAATTTCAAGTCACTAGTGTGCAACCAAAGGGAATGAAATCGTAGATGTACCCACTGCTTTTTTGGGAACAGTCGAAACCACACGGAAGGTAACAACAGAATGGCCATGCAGCCACAAGGGAAATCTCATTGCCTCTTTAAGAATTTTGATCTGCATGTGGACAAACAAAGTATTAAAGATATTATCCGTGACCGGCGACTTCAACATTGATGCATGGAACAGTTTATAGAAGACTAGCTGTGAACTTGGCTTGTCACAAACATCAAATACCAGGAGACCTCTTATCTTCGCCCATTCCATTGGTGAACTAAAAACCTGGTCTAGTGCTTACAATTGAGGAGGAGATGAAGAGAATGCCTAGGTTTTTGGAAAAGTAGCTGGCGGATCGGAAGGATGTAGAGTCAAACCTAAAGGACAATCCTACTGGAATAAACCCAAAACTCATGGACGTATCTGGTGTATGTTGTTTGGGCCACCTCACCGTGAACACAAGGGGAAATAACTAAACCTTGAAAGGGGAGCTGCTGGACTATCAAACAACATAATGAGCAAAAATGAAGCTGGTGGGAAAAGGTGAATCTTAGGGACATCTTTCACAGTCATATTGGCTGCCCAATTGGAAATGGCAGATCAACGCTCTGTCTCTACCTTCCAATATTCCTATGGGACATCATAGAGGAGTTGCTTCCACCCATAATGCAAAAGTGAATACGTTGGATATAAACATGCTGTTTGTGGCATCACACACAGGTAGGAACTTCAAGAACACATCACATGAACCCATTTCGGATGGAAAATTCTCCATTTTATTTCCAAGGAACAAAAAACAGAAACTGTTATCAGCAGACATATCTCTCAGTACATAACTTTGATAGAAGTGATACCATCTCAATTCAAATTATAATCAGATTTCAATAATTTAACTAAAATGCAGTAAGAAATAAACTAAAACAACTCAAGCTTACCTGGCTTAACATGGATGCCTCAGCGAACTCTGCTTTGAGCTCCATAACTTCCCAGTCGTCTTCGGTATCAGGCTCTACCGTCACTCGTTCAGCACGTTCCACATTTGACACAACTCGAACTTGAACTCTTACATGATCAGGCAACAAAATGCAATCCGCAAACTGCCTACCAATCTTCATAGGCACCACCACCACATATCAGATAATAGAAAACTGTTAAGATTCCATACCCTAACTAAAAACATTCCAGTAAACAAAAATCAGATTATCTACCTCAATAGCAGCAGAAGACGAAGTAGCACCAGACCAAGAGACCGTCCAGCTCTGCTGCTGGTCAGCAGTGGGGCTCAATGAGCGAAGCTCAATTACGAGGAGCTGAGGCTGAGGGAGAAGAGTTGGGCGGAGAGATTCCAAAGTCTGGATGAGTTGCAAAGGAAGGGCTACAAAGCAGTGCTCTGCTCCGGAAACATGCCATACTTCGAACTCCATCAAAATTAAAAAGAGACAGCTTCTCCAAGGATCATGAATCAAACCTGTAACCATGAAAATGTTCACGAATTTCAGAAACGATCAACTCCAGTGCAATGTTCAAGAAGGCGCTAGTCGCTAACTAGGCGGGGAGGCACGGCCCAGGGCGATTAGTCGTTGCCTAGACGAGATTGAACATAACAGTCATAAAGTTCACTGATTTGCAGTTCTATAACTCTGACAATATCCAATTAAATCAGCAGCATACCCTATTACCCTTGTATCAATAATTCATTAATCATTATTCATCATTCATCAACCCACCAATTTCAACACAAATGAGCTCTAGCTATTCATCATCTTTCTTCTCCTAATCGCTAAATCATAAACTAGCCGTGGCCAAGTTGAAGCTTTAGTGTCCATGCCATGTTATTGAGGTATGGAGAGCTTAAAGAAGAGAAACAGCACCACTATTCAAGACCCTATTAGTCTCCTAGGCACCAAACGAGAGAGGGAAGGACGAGTGAGTCGCAAACCTTCTCCAACAAGATGATGCCGACCGGCGACGACAGCTATGGAGACCGGCGACTGTGCGATGGCGGCGAGAACGACTGTGCGATGGCGGCGAGGAGGAGGCGCAACAGATGCTGGAGACGACGGCGGCAGCCGGCTGGAGAGGAGGGACGACGGTGGTCGGCTGGCTGGCTGGAGAGGAGGGAGAGCAACAACGGCTGTAGAGAGGGAGAGCTGCTCGCTACCCGGAAAACAGCCAAGCTCAATCTCTGTCCATCTCTCCGCTTCCTAGGTTTTAGCAATCGTGATTCCTGTGATGTCCGTCACTTTGGCTGTGGAGGTGATTGTGTGGATCGTTTATTTCGTCAAGGGGCAGAAGAAGTTCGCAGAGGTGTTGGAAGACTGGGAAGTTGATTACGGGCCTCGCAGATGGGGAGGCGAAGGTAAAGATGAGAATAGGGTCGGGTTTGGTTCATGGGTCGGGTTGGGTTGGGCATATGACATGGCGAGTTTAGTAACGTGGTGGGTCAGGTTTCACCATTTCTGGTACAAAACGACTCTGACTAGGCGAGTTTAGTATCTAAAATTATTTTTTTACATTTGAATACTAAAAATATTGATGGAAAATTACATTTTAGTACCTAGAATTTCCCCTTACATTTTAGTACCTAAACTTTTTAAAGTTTACAAATAAGTCCACTACGTGTGGCATGCTTTGAGGTTGTGGCATGCTTGGAGCAGGTTGTGACATGTTTCGTGGTCCCCCTTTCTTCATTCCTCCTCTTCTCCAATTTTTCATAGTACCAAGTGTGTCCGTCCTTCCCCTTCCCCTCATTAATTCTGGTCAACTCATCTATCTATCTATCTATACATAATATTATGGCAATTCAAAATTAAATTTTTGCCACATAAGCACTTAGAGAGATCTCAAGTTGCCAAGGTGGACAATTTTTTTACCAAAAAAATAGATATTGACCTATTTATGGAGTTGTCCATCTCTCTTCATTTAATATTTAATTCTCTTTTATCCAATAATTACTATGCTTTTGTTTTTGCATTATATCTATAAATAATATATGGAGAGAAAGGTTATCAAACCGGTTTAGCAAGTGGAATGGTTTTACCAGTGGTACAACCGGTTTGTGTCGTTTCATGCCGGTTAATAAAATATGTAGAAATATAAAAAATCATTAATATCAAATGAATTGAATCATATATAAACTATATTTGAAGACAATTTACGTGCAATTCATATTGATATTTGAATAAAATATGATATTTCAAATAAAATTACATGTACTCATACTTAAATTCACTAAAACTACGTATTTTACTAAGGAATTCGTAAAACGATCATACCGGTCATACCGATGGTGTCATGTAGATTTCATGACCGGTACCAGTTGAATGGTTCGATTGGTGGCATGCCGAGACAATCATGATGGAGAGTGACATATATCACATTTTGGTTTTGCATTATATTGATGTACGCAACAGTATACTAATGTTCGTAGAGTGACATATATATCACACTTTTTAAACCAAAAAATATATAATTAAAGATTACTATGTAAATTTCTGCTCATTTTTAGTAAAAATTAATAATAATTTATATTTTAATGAATAATTTAAACAAACACACAAAAATAATAATATTTGGTCGATAATGTCTGAAAGAAACTTGACAAAGAAATAATAGTTATTTATTAAAAAAAGTTTTTTATTCATTCTGATCAAGTGAAAACATATGAATCGCATGTGCAGTATTTATAATGTATACTAAGTTCACAGTACTAATATTTTCTCTAGGTCATGTTGATTGAGCAAGCTCTATTGAGGTCTTACATCATATGCTAAGAAATTTTCTTTTCAGACTTGGATTTATTTATTGATAAAGATTATAAATTGAAGTTTCCAAAATGACTTGATATAATAGTTGATGAACTTTGACTGAGACACGAGATCACGTGAAAAATAAAATGTGTGAAATTTAGAAAACTCTTTGTTAAGGATGTTCGTTAAACATCGCATTTCATGCTAAGAAAAATCTAAATTCGAAGATTGAGATAATAAATAAACATTAACGTTTTACTTCATATATATAACAAAGAATGTTTATAATTACAATAGTGTAAACCGAGCTATTGGGTCAAAAGAAGAATATTTAATAAATATGAGTTTAGTAAGAAAATTGTAACAAGTCTATATAGTTGTGAGTCTGTGATTTCATACAAAATTTTGGCAATAAAGAAAAAAAATTGATATCATATTCCACTCAAGGAGCTGAGTTCAAAGGTATTAATTAGTGTTGAAAGTAAAATAAACTCTCTGTATATATATATATATATATATATATATGTTTAGATTAACAATAGATATGTCTACAATACATCCAATAATTTAAATACATGTGAAAAGTCACAATGTTTGTATGAATTTTAAATTTTGCTACAAAATATTTTGTTAAAAAATTATAATTTAATTATTTAAGGAATACATAATTTTGAATGCACCTGAAATATTTATCTGTCGTATACACACTTTACCAATAATTAATATAAGTAATGAAATTTTTGTTCTAGAACTAACGCCAAAAAATAAAGAAATTTTAGTGAATGGACATTCAAATAGTTGAAAAATTATACATTGAAGGAACATGTTAAGATGAGAACCTTCGATAGTGTATATGAATCCTTGGATTCAGATTCTAAACGAACATCTAGACAAAATGTATGGGTTGAGGGTTATTACAAACTTAAAATATTAGCAATTGTAATAAGTTGCTATACAAAGACTTCATGAACATCAACAATAAAAATGAGTGAGGTTTAGAGAATTTAATCATTATAAGGGATATGATGTGTGTCAAATTTCAATTGGGATAAACATAATTTATCCAGTAATCTCTTTTTTCAATAATTTGAACTCTGATTAATTGGCTGAGTTTTCGTACAAACTCGAGAATCATGAATTGATATATGTTGTATAAGATAATAAATTTGAGCGTCTTGGTGAAAAAAAAATATATACGATCCTAAATGGGACGTGATAAACCTTTACGGCATGATTTATGATCAGAGAATAAAAACATCACAAGCAAGTGTGCTAACTATTAAATAATATTCGATATAGGCATACCACATATTATTCACTTATGAAGCGAGATGTATACAAGATCCAAAAAGTTCAAACATGTAAATAAGTTAACTAATATAAATAATAAAATGAACTTGTCCGGCCAACTAGTCGGGTAAAAAACTAGTTTAAATATAAAAATTATCCAAACGAAATGTTATAATTGGTTGGAGCTAGTGTTAACACCATACTAAAAAAAAAGTGCTAGCACCCTTCTCGTCCTGTACATTTATGACCCGCTCATTAACACAAAATGAATGAAAAACGAGAAAAAAACCTTTCATTCCATTATGGTCTCTTCATCATCCATTCCACACGCAGCCGAACACGCACTCTATTCTCAGCAGCAGCAGGAAAGAACACGGGGGGCCATGGGGAACGCACAGACCAACCCCTTCCATTCTTGAGAGATCCGTTCTAACCGTCTCTTCCTTCCTCCACCAATGGCAGCCGCAGCCGCAGCTTCAACGCTCTATCTCCTCCCTTTCATCAGCTGCTCTTCGCCTGCACCTTGTTCTACTGCTTCCTCTTCGCCATTCCTTGTGCATTTATCATCTAGCAATAGTTTCGGTTCCGCAGCTTTGAATTTTTCGTTCCCTCGTGCTCTCAAGTTCAGGCGGGAGAAGGCTCCTTCCAATCGCTACAGCCCTGTGGTTCATGCACCTTCCGGTGTGAAACTTTGATAATGGATCAGATTTGTGGTGAAACCGCAAGGGGCTCTTTGCCTCTAGGGCTGGTATATATATACTGCGAGATAACTCGCTTCTGTACATTCAAGTTTAATTACAACGGATATAAACAGAATCAACCCTAACTATCAATCAGGAAGAAACACGTGGTATGCACAGTAATAATTGAAACGAAATAAACACTGTTATAGAACGACATCGTTCCGATACCAGCTCTTCACTTGCTTCTGGTTGAAACGTCGCCGTGCTACAAGCTCATCAGTGTTCTTGAGACAGAGTCATTTCCTGCAATCGTCTTCAGCAACACCATCTTCTCTAACATGCCCCCTCAAGCTGACATACATATCATGTATGTTCAGCTTGGATAACAAATGCTCCAGACGATGTCGACTCAACCCCTTCGTAAACAAGTCAGCAATTTGGTTCTCTGTTTCAAGGTGATGGAGTTGTATAAGCTTGGACTGCAAGAATTGACGAACAATGTGGCAATCGATCTCTATGTGTTTCGTCCGTTCATGAAACACAGGGTTTTCAGCTATATAGATGGCTGATCGATTGTCACAATAGACTTCTACAGGTTGAGGATGTTCGACATGAAGTTCCTGTAGAAGTCTTTTCACCCAAACAACTTCACATGTAAGCTGAGCTAGAGCTCTATACTCAGCTTCAGATGAGGATCGAGATACTGTTACCTGCTTCTTTGATTTCCATATAATCAGTGATCTTCCCAAGGAAACACAGTATCCTGTTGTTGAGCGCCTTGTGTCTAGGCATGAGGCCCAATCAGAGTCACTGAAACCCCTTAGTTGGATATCAGACTTAGATGGGTAGAACAATCCCTGTCCTGGTGCATTCTTCATATACTTAAGTATCCTGTAAGCCAACTGCATATGTGTCACAGTGGGAGCAGCTTGGTATTGACAAAGTTGCTGGACAGCGAAGGTAAGATCTGGTCGTGTGATGGTAAGATAGTGAAGACGACCAATAATCTTCCTGAAAAGTGTCCCATCTTCAAGTAATGGTCCATCATCAGCACTTAATCTGGTTTCATGTTGTTGATATGACTTGAATCGGATTATCAGCTGCTACGACTGTTAATCGGGGGTCTCGCTGCCCGGTCAGCCAGTGGGGTCCAGGGGCAACGCCCCGGTGGGGGTGCGGGGGCAACGTGTTAGTGAATGTTATTTGGGTTCGGGTTCTGGGCCTGGTCTGTAACCGTTTCCTTTGCCAGATTGGATTAGGTTTAGACCCACATGGAGAAGTACTATATATATACTTCTCATACTCCTCTCTAATCTGTAATCTCCTCGATATAGTGAAATTGGCTCTCTCTCGCCCGTGGACGTAGCTAACACACATCGTGTTAGTGAACCACGTAAATCGTGTGTCGTGTTTTTCGATTCTCGCTTTCGTATTCTTGCTTTGTCGATTCCTGCGATTTCCCGATCCGTAGCAGCGCGTTTATAACACATGTCTATAGGAGTGATCACAGGCTTGGAATCTGCATAACCAGTGTCCTCTAACAAGTCTGTACAATACTTTTTCTGGCAGATGCCGACTCGATACTAGTGCTCTCGCCGAAGAAGCTATGAGATGACTTGTGCGCCGGTTGACCTCGTAAGTTGCTAAATGATCTAGGAAGTCCTCTACCTACGATCTGGGTGGTTTGTTGCTATAGAGGTCTGGAGAGTTGCATTGGTTTGAGTTAGGTTTGCTTGGGGACAAGCAAACGGTTAAGTGTGGGGGAATTTGATAACGATGTGATTGCACGTATTTGCGCCCCTAGTTCTTATCCGTTTGAAGGGTATAGTAGTGTGTTTTTGGCCTATTTTATGCCGGGTTGTGCTATTTTGTCATGTTTCAGGTCCCATGTGTAAAAGGGGAGGCTAAGCACGAGTTTCGGGCATTCGGAAGTCATTTCGGTGAAGCTGAGCCAAAACACGGGCACACCTAAACCATTACACGACCGTGTTCTGAGACCGTGCTTTTACTGCCGAGAGCTAATTCGATTTGGCAAACATTGGCCAAAACACGGGCAGGGCTGAGATAGAACACGGGCGTGCTTCACCAAAGCACGGCCGTGTCCTCCCAAAAGCACAGCTGTGTTTCTCCTAGTGTAATTAACCCTAGCCAAAGCACGGGCGGGCTGAGGCATTACACGGTCATGCCCTCGACCGTGCTTTGGCCAGTGATGCCTTTTAAGCAGATTTTCAGCCAAACAGAAGGGGGATTCGAGTTTTAGAGAGAGAGATCAGTTCCTAGAGAGAGAAAGCGATGAACAAGAGTCTCCAAGCGCCCTAGATTGATCTTCAACACCATTGGAGGCCAGTTTGAGCTTGGAGAAGTGCCGATCAACGTCCAGGAGCAGGAATCCATCCTTCACAGTATGAATTCCGCGTCTGATTCTGCTTTTGCTTCTTTCTCCATGGAGTAGTTCTCCCATTCATCTGGGTATGGAGAACCCTAGATTTGTATGTTAGGCTTTGATTGTATGAACCCAAGTACTGATTCTATGATTTGATTATATTCAATTGAGGTTTGAATGATTGAATGACTTGAATCCTGATCAAATTCCTGTTGTTTCTGCTTTGACCTAGAATGAGAATATCTGCCTAGGTTGATAGAGCATCCTTGATTGAAGGTAGGGAGTTGGTGACTTTAGTCGAGGAGCCAACTCACCATTCTGTACCGGATTTACTCCGGTAGTGGAGGTTTTGTTTGTTAAGGCCTCAATCTGTTTACTCCGGTGGAGGTTAGTCGCCCGCTAGAGATTCAGATTGAGAGGGTCTGAAGACCTTTAGTCGAGACTTCAGGCTGTTTAAGAACCTTCCGCAGTATAACTATCATAGAAACTGAACTTGGTAATTACAATCCGGCTTAACTGCAGTCTAGGGGGAACCATATCCGGGTGACCTCTCTTAACCAGAATACAACCGTTTACTTGCTTTGTTAGTTTGTTAGTTTAGACTTGCATTCCAGTTTCATTGCTAGATAACAAGAATTCACTGAGTAGTCATCAAATCTAGGACCCGGGTTGATAATTAAACCTAAACCCGCTATACTACGCTTTAGGAAGTGGTTCCACTTGGCCAATTCCTAGGGTGACAGTAGAAGTGAGTCAACAGTCCACTGTATCCCAGGTGAAATTGGCTGCTAGAGCCCTGAGTTCCAAGTTCATAGCATCTCTCCAACATTTATATTTAACTGCCTCCTCAAATGTTTTAGGAATCACTATGGTCTCAACTGCACAAACATACTTCTTATACCCTGGAGATAACTGATCATGTGATAGACATGCAGCCAAAGGATACCTGAACTTGTCAATGTTTGAGTCTACATGCATAACATAATCATTATATTTCACAGGTTTGATTGGATTACGAGAAGGTTTGCAAAGTGCAATTGGAAGGGTGGAAGGAGAGGATGGCAGAGTGATGATAGGTGATGAAGAAGAAGAAGGAGAGGGTGTATGCAAGGGTGATGGAACAGTAGGTATAGGAGAAGCTGGAATTGGTGTAATGGGATTAGGTGAAGAAGGTATAATAGGTTCTGGGATTGGAAGAGGTGTTTCTGGGATGAAAGATTGAGTAGGTGGATTAGAAGAAGAGGAGAAAAATGGTTGATCTGTGAAAGATGGCTGCATAGGGGCATTATCTAGTGAAGGTGAATGAGACTGTGAATCAAGATAAGGAATTATGTTCTCATGAAAAGTGACATCTCTAGAGTAGAAAACCTTTTGTTCTGCAAGGTCAAAAAGTTTGTACCCTTTGATGCTAGGATGGAATCCTAAGAACACACATTGCCTTGCCCTGGGGAAGAACTTGGTTCTATTATGCCCTAAGGTGCTAGCATAGCACAAACAACCAAAAACCTTGAGTTGGGAAAGGTCTGGAGGAAAGCCATAAAGTACTGAGTATGGGGTTTTGTTGTTCAGGGCAACAATGGGTAATCGGTTAATCAGGTAAACTGAGTGCAAAATGAAATCAGACCAGAACTTTAGGGGTAGACCAGACTGAAATTTCAAGGATCTGGCCACATTGAGAATGTGTTGGTGTTTTCTTTCCACCCTAGAATTCTGTTGTGGTGTTTCCACACAGGATGTTTCATGTGTGATTCCATGAGAAGAATAAAAGGATGGAATGTGAAACTCAGAACCTTGGTCTGATCTAACTGTTTTCACTCTTTTCCCATACTGGTTTTGAATCATTGTGCAGAAATCCTGTAACATTTGCCTAGCCTCACTCTTAAACTTCATAAGATAAACCCAAACACATCGTGATTTGTCATCAACAATGGTAAGAAAATACTGAAAACCATTGTAATTAGTTACAGCCAAGGGACCCCAAATGTCCACATGGATAAGATCAAAAACATGTTCTGCCATAGAAAGGCTTGAGAAAAAAGGAAGACGCTTTTGTTTAGCAAAGTGACAAACATCACAGTGATGTATAACTTCAGTATCTATGCTAGGTATGGACTTCTGCAACTCCTTAGTTCGAAAGAAAGATGGATGGCCAAGTCTCCAATGCCATAAATCAAAGGTATGTGGTGTTAGGTTTGGTGTCTTGATGGAATTGACAAGTATGGATGAGTCTCCAGTGTGGCAAGTAAGTTGATAAAGACCCCTAATCTCGCGGGCAAAACCAATCCTCTTCTGGGTGAGTAAGTCCTGGATGTCACACAGATTGGATTTAAAAGTAAGTGTGACTAGTAGAGTCTTAGTAAGTCTACTAACCGAAATCAGGTTGAAAGAAAAGGCTGGCACATACAAGACATCATGTAAGATGAGTCCTGATGACAATCTGATGGTTCCAGATCGAGCGGCAGGTGTTTTAGAACCATTAGGAAGAGTGATAGAGACATTTTGAATTGGAGTGTGTGAAATAAATGAATTCATTATGCATGTAACATGATGAGTAGCTCCTGTGTCAAGGAACCACACATTGACAAGTTCTAATGGATGATTGAGGTAATATGAACTCAGGGTATATTTACCTGCAAAGTTGGGGCTGGCAGAGAGGTGCCTTCCAACAGAATTCACCATGGGTTGGCTCTGTTGTGGCTGCATTGATGACGAGCTTGGAGATCCAGGTGAGGTGGGAGAAGTTGGTGAGCTGAACTGACTGAGGACCCTCTGCAGTCTACTGAGATCTTTTGTAGATAACCTTATGTTTGTAAATCCATCTCCAACTTCAGAAGCACTCTTCGTCTCTGGTTTGGGCAAAATACCACCCCCTTCACTTCCTTGAATCTGTCCAGCAAATCCAGATGACCCCCCTTGTTCCTTGAAGGAATTCTTCCTCTTCAGTCTATAACAATCAGCCATTACATGGTTGTCTTTCTTACAGTAACGACAGAAAAGACCCCCTTTGGTAGTCTCCTTCCC